CCACACTCCTGGATGGCGACCGAGACCAACTCCATCTCTGAAGCCATGCGGTTGACCTGAGCCAATCTGGGGAATGTAATAGGGACGCTATATGATTCCCGCCGGGGACGATATTTTTCACCAAAGCGTTCAAATAAGGCGCACTGTCCTACCACTCCGTTCTTAAATAGGCGAGAATCCCGAAACGTAATGAGTAAGTAGTCTGGTGCTGGAAGGAATCAACGATTCCTTTTCAACCACTGGTGAGCCGGCCACCTGACAAGGCGTGCATACCTGACAATTTAGAAATAGACATTGAAAATCAGTACTTTTAAAAGCATTTACACGAATATGAACCAATCTTTTTTAGAAACAATAGTAGTTTTATCAAAATGGCATGCACTTATGTCGTGAGTCATATCTAGTGCAAATAAGTCATCTGAGCCTGAGGTAAAACCAGTCAAGCCTAGCACCAGTTTGAGGTAAAACGTGCCGTCATAGGCTGTTAACCTGACTTCACTACAGAAGGCATTAAGATATTCGAAGTAACATGTATGCTAAAAAAGCACCTTGTCTTATCAATGCCCTAAAAGTTAACGCTTGCCTTCGAAAAAATATAAACAACCATTTGGATTGATGAATATGACATTACGGAAACGATCGACGAAAAACAGGCATGTTTTCAGAGTCATAGTTTAATTTTCTGCGACAACCTGGGATGATTATTTTGGAACACATGTGCGATGAAGCGATATGCTGACTACCGCTACCTGACTTCAGAATCCAAAATTTCCGCTTTTCCTTGATGATGGAAACATCACCCGAAGTGGAAGATGCCCGAGAAGGTGGATTTGCTGGCGGTCTTACCGCTATATTTACGACGAATTTAAGACTCGTTTTAATGTTTGCATACCATTACCGAACTTGATTTCATGTTAGGTGCTCCATAAATTCATTTTACTCCTGAGTGCACGACAAATGAACAGTACATTGCAGATACTTATTCAGTATCAGGTCCGATATACAAGCAGTTTCAATTCGAGAGCGACTGGCAGTACATTGTGGACATTCTTAAGTCAACTAGGCCAGAATGTGCGCATAACATACATTTCGACTGACAAACTAATGATTTAAGTGGTAATTGAGTCCACAGTATGTTGTTTTAACAATGTTGACGTTATGACTTCAAATGCGGCTGTACGTTCATTTGCAGTCGACGTGCCATAAACCTACAAAGCTTCACATATGGAGAACATGCCTGGATGTGTAGGGATGTGATCACACCACGTATGAGGGTTTCATAAGCGTTAAGTGACTTTTCATTGAGTCGTGAATGAGTCGGAAAGAAAATAATATATGTACATGGTAGTGAAGGCGATGGCATGAAATCCTTTGAACGTCAGTGCGGGAAAAATGGGGGAAAGACGTTTTTACTTTCTTACTCGTTATTGCATGCATCTTACTTCATGAACCTTGAGATCTAGCAAAAACACAAAAGGGTGTGAAAGATTAAAATTCAGTAGGGCACCAGCCAAACACAAAAAAAAACTCAAACCCATCCCGGTGTACGCAGCGCAGACACCGAATGATAAGCGACATCACCTGCAACAATTAGGAAACCTCCATGGGTCCGCATTGTGGTTATCTATCCAGGCTCAGTAGCGCAGCCAATGAGGTCAGAGTGGAGAAGAATTCGGATGATTTAGCATCTCACTCAAAGCGCTGCAAAAATGGCCAGCGGATGCAACGAAAATAGGGCGTGGTGCACTGCCGTGATATTAGCCCGCTCCCGGCCGGGTAAGTTGACTTTGCCCTACAGGTTTTCGAGCACAGGTTCAAAACAAACACTAGCAGCAACACGAAATTTTTAGTACCGGGTTATGACAGGGGAGGGTCAGTGACCTGAAGTCCGTAAGCATTTGCTATTTTACCGTAAATCATGCAAATTTGTGCGTATTTTTGGGTAGTTACGGTGTTTCTATGAGAGAAAGGGTGCTCAATCACATGCACTGCCATCACATGACCACAGAGGAAATGACCTTGGTCCAGGTCATGACCTACCTCTTTAAGTACTTTCTGGAAAAGCATGCCGAGCTAAAAACAACCAGTTTTATTAGGTAATTTTAGACGCCAAAATTCGAATATTCCACTAAAACTTGTGGTATTCCAATGCATGATGAGGTCACAAAACGTCACATGAGGACACGGAAGGTCATATAAGGTCATCCAAGGTCAAGACCCATGTTGTCAGTAGTGCAGAGGCGACGTGAACGAGTGCGACGCGTGTAACCACCTCCTTATCGTGTTTGTAAAGTTGATGATGCGTAATTTCATTTACAAATGTGCTTGTTCTCAGTTTGCTATGAATACATTGCCAAGCTCGAAGTGACTATGCACAATGCATGCAACAGCCAGGCGATCTTGAGTACCTGTAGAGGTACAACACATTATTTCTGATCAGAGAAAAGTGTTGCACTGGTCACACAGACCTCGTAAGCACTTCATTTTTTCCATTTGGGTTGTTTGTAAATTTGACCTAAATTGACCAAAGCGGACATAAAGGTCAGCCTGTAATAGTCTTTTCATGTCTGAATTGCTGTTGTCTCACAGGTGCACCTAATGAAATAACTTAGTCAGAAGCGCATTGTGGAAACGCATCGTTCTTGTAGGCTACTGGTCAACAAATCCTGAACGGTGACATGATCTGACCTGATCCCTGTGGGAGAACGGAAACGATTAGAATAAACCTTTCACAGCCTTAACGCTTATTCCCGTACCATTCATGTCTGTCTTGACGTGTTAAGATAGATTTTAACTGTCCCTATCAGAACGGTCGTTTTTTTTTACCTTTCGTGACGTCTGGTGTCCTCAAATTTAATCTAATGTCAACCATGTTGTGCGCGTTCTTCATGATTTCGCGAGACCCCCACAACGGCATTTTTGTCATACAGCGCCTGGAAATTGAAGATCCCAGGGGGAATTTAACATGCCCCCCCCCCCCCCCCCACCCCGCAACGCCGGGGCGCAGTTGTCTCAGACCCCTGACCGGGCGCAGGTTAAGGCACGTAGAGCAAGGCGTTAATGAAAACTGCCATCTCTATTCGCATCGCCAGTGGGTCTAAGCAAGACTAACAGCTATTCCAAACAAGTCAAGAGCAAACTGGGCACAAGGATTCCGGACGAGTCGCAGAGATATCCCAAAGAGAAAAACGTACTTGTAGAAAAAGTTTGCATGACAATAGTTCATAGGATAGAGCTTGTGTGCCTAAGTTCGTCGGAATAAAGTAAGAAGAGCATTTATTAAGTTCATAATGTCCAAAGTTAGCCATGAAAAAAGTTCGTGTAGTAAATCATCGTCAGAACTTTTTACAAAAAGTTCCCGCACGCACAAAAGTTCGCACGCAAAAGGTTGGTCATAAATGTTCGTATGAAAGTTTTCGTAAGCAAATGATCGTCAAGATTAGTCCGTGTGAAAAAGTGCGCACGCAAAAGTTTGTATGAAAAAGTGCACACGCAAAAGTTCGTGTGCCAATATATGATGTAAGTACGCAAGGTTCGATCGCAAATGCTCGTCAGATATTATTCGTTTGCCAAAAGGAAGTACACATGGATGTATAACGCACGCACGCAAAGCTCGTATGGACAAGTTCGTCAGAATAAGGTTTATCTGACGTAGGCAAAAGTTCGTACGCAGATGTGTTGTGCAATTTCGAATGGAGATCTTCACCTCGGAGGTGGACCTCGGGTGAATTGTCGCTGCGGGCCGCCAAAGCCCGGAAACCACGGATGCTGGTAGGGGGGGGGGGGGAAGTAGCGGACAGCGACAGCTGCGTAGATCAAGTCAAATATTAGGACTAGGGCTGCTTTTCACGGTATAAAACTAAACGCCCTCCGGTGACCAAAAAATGAACCCACTTACCAGCGGTAGATGTTTAACGATGTTTAACGATGATCGTCTGACGTTTTTGCTGTGTTCTCCTTTCATCCTCTACTCTGACGCCTCTGTGAACAGTTCCTGAGCGCGCCACTGACGCCACCTGGCTGTAGCGGCGTAAGTCAGCTGATTTGTGGAATATGGCGGGCAGGCGCGCGGGTACGCCCGGTACACATGATCGCTTATGTAACGTAAACCAGGCTGGAGAAGGCGACACCCGTTTTAATGCCTCCCCTATTAATAAGGACCTTGTTTGCATCCGGCCGAAGATTGTTCGGGGCTCGTAACTTTTAAGCTGTTCGTCAGAGAGTAAAAATGGCACAGTCGCCTTCGTACGCATTAGGTTATCCGGTGGAGACCTGATTTGAGCGTAATTCCAGAGCTGACGGTGGTCGATTCGGTGACCATGTGTTTGATCGGTCCAAAACCTGCTTACGTATTTTTGCCAAACAATTTTTTCCGATGCAAATATCTGCCCACGGGCCCTTTCTAACGGCGTGCGTCTACTTCACGCATGCGGGCTTTTTATGCGAACTTACATACGTACCTTGTTCAGAACAAACCTTTGCTCACGAAATTTTGTGTACGCAGTTCTGCTATACAGGCTTTATACTTTACGCAGATGTGCGTACAACCAATTGCGGACGTTCTGTATGCATACGTACAGTTTCATCGTGAGCTTTTGCCCTAAAATAATCTCAAACACACCCAACCGCCATCTGTAGTCAGTCATACGACCAGCCAGTATGGCGCCCGTATCGTCGGCCATATCACAGTTCCCGCGGACCCGCAAGCCAAGTCGCGGTATTCTGTAGTCTTCCTCCGGATACAATTATCTTTTTCGTCACAGCCATGATCGCACTGAACCCAGACTTCAAACTTCTGTGGGAGAAATATATGCATTTCAGGTACTCACGCCGCACGACAAAATTTAGCGGCAGCCATCAGTATATATATATATATATATATATATATATATATATATATATATATATATATATATAGTACCCTATTTATGCCATAGCATTCACGACTATCCCAAAATATCTGCGAGGCGCTCCTGCTCAATATATCAGAAAAACAGATGTATCCATGGGTACACTGAAACCCTTCTATTCCCTGGCAGCACAAACTATGACCAGGGCACAGCAGCGTCAGACGTCTAACCCCGCAGCCACCCGACAACAGGACGTGCGCAGCACCACCACGCGCGACAAAACACAGCTGGGGCGTATGCCATTAGCAGTGCTGCACCAACAGGACTCATCACGAGCAGCATCACCAACGACGACCTGCCTCACAGCCTGAGACGTGCACAGCACCAGCAGCACCACGAATCTGACAAAAGAGCCACCACAGTGTCCAGCTCGACACCCACATCAGCAGCTTGAGGTCATCGTCAGCCCCACATGGGCATCTGCCTCCCGCCATCAGAGGCTAGGAGCAGCGTTCTGGAACACGTCGGTCGCCGTCCCCGCTGGCTCGGCATCCTCGCCCGGCTGACGACACCATGATGACGTGTCGTCACCGGCAGCCAGATTCCGCGTGCCGACGCACGTCGTTTGCAGCATGGCAATGACGTCGGACTGACGTCATCGCCACCGGTCTGACGTCATCAGGGGTCGGGAGCGGTGTAGCGGAGTGCGCCGGCCACCGCCAAGCGGTCGGCGCCCTCGTTGCCGTCCACCCCGGAGTGACCACGCACGTAGTTCTGCAGAACCACGGGTCACGGCCAGTGAGCTGGCGACTGCCGCCTCTTACGGTTCCGGCGGTCGGCACCTCGACGATCAGTTCCCTCCCAAGGCGGGCTGACAATGTAATCCCGGGAAAGCTGGCGGGAGTTGACATGAAATGGGCTGATTGGTGAAAAATGGGTTGATATTCTGAGTTTGGATGGTTGTCAGGTTGTGGGGTCAACCAGCACAGCCAGTCCCAGAGCATGAGCCTAGTTAACGACGAGATCGATGACCTTACCACGGTATTTTCAGACGTTCGTTTAATAACCATTTGCTAAGCAATAGATTTCACTCCCGAAATGACTTACCCACTTGATCTCAACGCCAGCCATGGCGCGACTCAGGGCCTCCAATTGAGTGCGGTTCTTCACAGGGCCGCCGCCGGCCAGCCGCCAGCCGTTCCTCTTCCATCCCTCCAGCCAGCGCGTGGCGCAGCTGATGACAAACTGAGAGTCGGTGTGCAGCAGCACGCGCCGGTGGCCGGCGGCGGCGGCCACCTCCAGCGCCATCCAGGCCGCTTGTATCTCGGCGTTATTGTTAGTGGCCGGTCCGTCGACCGGCGCAGACACGTTAAGCGGATGTGCATGGTTAAACCACACGCCGAAGCCGGCGCGCGCCCCCCGCTGCCCGTTACTAGAGCACGCACCGTCCGTCCACACGTTCAGGAAGCCGTCCTCGTCCACCACGAAGCGGTCGAAGCCGTCGGCCGCCGCCGCGCCGTCACTGGTGGCGCCTTCCGCGACGGCGCGTGTGGCGTCCTCTGCTGCGGCGCGTGTGGCGTCCTCTGCAGCGGCGTCAGTGCGGCCTCGACAGGGCGAGACCAGCTCGCCGCTGCGGTACCGGTGCAGCTGGTCCTTAAGGGCGTCTAGCTGGCGGCGGGCGCCGTCGATGCCTCGTCTCATGGAGTCAGTGTCGGCCGGCTCCGCCGACGGCGTAGACGCGCCGGGGCGCGAGCCGGCTGGCCGCGCCGGCGTCCGGTACGGCGCCGGCCGGTCCGAGCGGCGGCCAGCAGCGGACGCAGACCGACTCGCCGGCCCGCCGGCAGAGACAGAGACCTTTGACGGGGCCGCGGCGGCGGGACGGGCCCGACCTGGGTCAGGGCACGGCGCGGGGCGTGTCGATGCGACCCCGGCGGCGGCAGGTCGTGCGGCGGTGGGGTTCTGGCTGGCAGAGCCCTGGCAAAAGGCTTCTGCCTGCTGGAGAGAGGGGAACTTCTTGAACTGGGCTCCCCTGAAGTGGTCCACCTGAGCTTTACACTCGTCCCTGCCGAGCACAAAGGAGATTATGGCAGGATCAGTCAAATATTAAAGCCAACCACATAAATATATTACCTACATCTGACAACTGGATGCATCCCTGTTCCCATGTTACAAAATTCACAATTCACTTCTTCATATATTGCATGCATTGAAGCCTTCTGTGCCCTGATTCACAAGGGCTTACATACATTTTTTCCTGACTTGCCTGATTTGCCATTCTGAATACCCTAAACTCATCACCCAACTGATACCATCCCAGCTCAACACATGACTTAGGTTCCACCCTTCTGCGGACAGGACCAGGAATGATTTCACTGCTGCGTATTGCTGTGGCTCCAATTTCCTTATTTTGGGTTCACTCTCATTGGCCAGGTGTCAGTTGACCTTCTTTGGCAGTCAGGTCAAACAATGAACCTGCCCTGTGACCATGATCTTTAACAAAGCCACATAAGGATGTGATGGAGGCATTGAGGATCCTGACCACCCATGACTGTACAAATTTGTGTATGTACAGTATTTAGCATACATTATACATACATATACAAATATACAATTTTTCCTGATCAAAACAATAAAAACACATAATATTAAAAGTGATGTAGAGATTCAACCCAGCCTCACCATGTATGGTATATCCCAGGACAGAATCCTTTCCTCACTGCATAAAATGGCATAATAAAATAGCTCTAGCCCAGAGCTGATAGTCCATACAGTGCTGAAAATGTGCACAGTGATGTAAGTGAACAAAACAGCACACAGTTCCTTTAGTTAATGGTTTGAGTACAAGTAGGTATACATATATGCACATAAACAATCAGGTTGCATCTCATACCACAATACCAATATGTCCTTAAAAAATAATGAAGAGGCATGGCAAAATAGAATATCACAGCAAGCAACCAGATTCCAAATTAAAATGTGTTTTTGAGAAAATTGCCCACTGCATGATAATCTTAGAAATGTTTATCACACCTAAAGCCTGAACTACATACACAACATCAGCATAAATCTAAAAGGTGTAACATAGCAGCAACATTGCAGCAACAATACTGATGCATGTGCCCCAGAGATCTGAATGCTCAGTCCAGCCCATGGTCACCACTAACTTAAGCACATAGAACTAATATTTCAAGAAATTATGGTGCTACAAGGGTATTTCAGGTAAAACGTCTCCAAAAATTTGTGATACAAATTAACTTTAAATTCAGACACAATTTGGACTGGTTAGTGTTCAGTGCACACAAGCAAAAAGTTCAGCACATTAATGTCCTGGAGGTATCTGCCATATAATATATATATATATATATATATATATATATATATATATATATATATATAATATTTACATATTATATAAAATATAACATAATACAAGTTTTATCAAGTAAACTCAGCATAATTCTGATCTACCTTTAAAAGTGCAGTAAAGGTAAAAAGAAGATTGCATGTGTAAATAAGATTATTTGGAATTATTCCCAGTGCTCCATTATTAAATAATTGGTGCCTTTCACTGCAAAGGAACTGGCTGCCTCATTTCCGACACGACCTGACCGTCCAGAACATCTCATGTGCGGTCAACCACTTTTTACCGGCTGGACTTCAATGCGGCCCAACCGACAGCATTATAAGCCAGGGCTCCACCTAATCCTGGCTGGATTGAGACGTTGTGCCAAACGAGACCTGCACAACGTAGAAGAACCGCTGCATACCCTATACAAAATTACACCGGTAAATACACAAAATCTGTCAAAAATCACGCGCCATTAATCTCCTGACATCCCGTACCACGATAGGCAAACTACAACCAGTGTTCCATTGCTCCGGGCGGGAACCAGGCCTGAGTCACCATGTCACCATCGCATAAGGCAGCACAGATATGACTGCATGCGTTGCATGTTTCCGCCAAAAAAAGCACTCCAACACCGAAATCTTCTGTCTCTCCGTGGTAGCTGTTAGTGTTTAGTGATGGATATGACACTGAAATCTTCGAGGGCCAGACTTACAGTAGCGTTTATTGTGGCCTTTACATTTGCACAAATTGAAGTTCTTGGCATAATTTTTGCCGTGGCGAGCTTTTAACAGCAGCATTGTCGCATGTACCGTTAGCGAGCAAGGAGAGCATTATTCACTTATATTTTATACAGCATATGTAATATGTATACATCATGTGTATACAGCATATGTAACCATTTCACTAACTTGAAATTGAATTCTAGTTGCACCATGTTTCCTACAAATCAGTAACAGAACGACCCTACAACCTACACACAGAGCAGTGCAAAATGATGACATTTTTTATTACATCCAACGTAACGATAACGGAGGGAGAAACAAAACTGGCTCGATACAACATACAACAGCAATTTTAGTGCAATAAAATCATGCTTGGCGAGTTGGAACTCTACGCCGCAGCTCACCCCCCAAAAACACTTTTTCTGCAACAGCATGTTGGTCACATTGACCTCTAACAGACTAGACAAACTTCTCGACTTTACAGAAAGTGGCGGCCAGCAACGCTGTAGAAGGGTAAGCGTTTTTCTGCGGCGCTTACCAAACCACACCAAAGGGAGCCATCAAAGAGTCCAGGATCGCAGCGTCCAGTGTTCATATCGTCCAGGACCGCGGCATCATGTTCATAAAATCCAGAACACTTTCGATTCCCTGCCCATTGGGAGCGTTCATAGGGACCGCAGGGACCGCTGCGCCCGCACGGTAAGCGGGCTCTCCCGCCCCGTTGCTGCTGCCTGGGCCCCAAATGCCAGGGTACAATCGCTTGCTCATGGGCCCTTCATATTGGTATCGAGTTCTTTCCACTTGCTTGGAGGACCTCGTGCTGTTGCTGGGTCACCATATAAGGTAACGCTCCGAGGCACTCGGTGCTCAGGGGCCTTCTTCATTAACCTATAGCAGTTTCCCTTTTTGAGCTTATTTACTGAGGGCCCTTCATTTGTCAGAGCTCTCTCTGTTAACCTGCCCGGGCACTCCTGATCACACACGGACGTTAATTGGTGTACGCTGATCTTTGGCTGGTGCCCTTTGTTCATGGGATCCAGTACTCCGGCCGGACCCTGTATGTTAGCTTGCCGGGGTGCTCCCGATCGTTAATGGGTCCCACCATATTGGTGTTAGGTTCTTCTCGCTTGTTATGAGGACCCTTTACTGTTCATTGGAGCCTCTTTGTCGGCCTGCCAAGGTAGCTTTGATTGCTCAGGTGCCATCCCCGTGGGTCTTGGGTTTTTCCATAGGATAGGATGGCCTACCCATTGACGTGGACCTAAATATTGATCATTTTTATTAGGGCTTTACTTCTTACCTGACTGGTGACTGAATTTGCGGCTATGGGGATTACGCCGACGAATTCGTTATTGTCATTGTCGAACATAATTTTACACGCCGGCGACGCCGTGCATCTTATTTCCATTATGTATTTAATTTGTGACGATTATTATAGCTGAACGTTGCGCTTTAATAAATTGTTAAGGATATAATATTATGCATCCCCTCGAAACAGACAAAGCAAAAACTCCATTAGTCCTCAACCATCAGTTGATCTCACCAAGTACCCGGCTAACCGTGTATAAGCTAAAAATCAAGCTCGTGCTCGATTTTGATGGTATTCAGCAGTCAATTTAAGTGTATGCTGCCATGTTTTCTTGGAAATACTTAGCCTTAAAATGACAGAATCCACCGCGATCCGACAAAGATGAACAAGCTCCATGTATTTGCATACAGAGCCCGTCTAGTTTTCTAGGGCTGTACGCTAGGGTGCGTCATCGAGAGGTGAATCTCTTGGAATCAGCTGAGACAATGTTTTTCCGTGGCACGCGGGTTAATGACAAACTTTCAGGTCTGTCGCACCGCACCGATGTTGATATTCGTGAGACGGAAGCAGTTCTTCTTTGATAGACCAAGAAAGCCGCATTCGATACCAGCGCCACCTATTTTACGCACTGGGATCATCCTCCAACACCCCTCAAAGCGGCGGTTTTCCACACTACTGGTACTTGGCCGATTAAGTATGAAATAATATCATGAGGAGCAACAGCAAAACATTGCCAAACGGCTTTTAAGCTCACTTTTTAGTAAGGAACATTATTTTTTGGTGAAAGCCAAATGTATGCGGCTGTGAGAATGCCCCAGCAGACCGGGTTAGGTTCAAGTTTGTTATTGCTAACGCATCATTGTGATGTTGATTTGCAATCTATATTTTTTGCGTTGGAGGTATGGGCTAATTAGTTTAGTTTTGCTGGTACCGAAACATTTCTTTCGAACAATTGCTTGCATGAGCATGCCGAAGGCCACACGGTCGCGCACAAAACATTATGCGACAGGCCACCCGACTCTGCTGTCCCACCACCAGCTGCCGACTACGAGAAAGCTTTGAGCTACATCAGGTAACTGGGCGAATCGAAGAGGAATCTCACTAATGCCATCTTCAAGACCGCGACGGTAGAAATCAGAGTACCGTGGACCAACGAAGCGATCCTTATTCATGATCTAAAATACGTGACAAAATTGATCGAGAGGGGTTGATATCATCCCAACAGAGCTATCAGCAAGAAATCAGAGAAAGAAAGAGGTTGTCACAGCATCGCCGCCACTGCGAAATTCAACAAGTTTCTTGATGTCGCGAGATGCCAGTGAAAGCCTCGGTGCAGCTTTCCATGCCCAGTTGCCTGCACAGTGTATCAGGAGGAGTTTGCCATGGAGGACCAGTGCGGGCACCAGAAGCCTACCCGGGGTCAAATGATAGGGATACGACTGTGACTATGGAGGCTCGCGAGGTGTCGAGGATCACCAGACAACTCCAGGGGCGTCGTGGCTCGGCCGCCAGTGAGGCGGTGTATGCTGTTGAACCTGAATCGCCTTCCCCGCCGACTGATGAGCCGCACCGCCCGCTGAGCCAGCGATGGCTGCTAGTGCTGATCCTGAGCCTGCTCTGGGACCAAGTAGTCTCAGCGCTGGCGAGTCGGCTGAGAGCACGGATTCATGCATTCATTTGCGGTTCCGTACATGGTGGAAGATGGTGGCGACGCCGATTGTTCTTTCCGGTTGAGACCACTGCCACTCTGGGTTATAACGTTAACGATCTGACTAACACCGCTCTGGCGGTTGACGGCTACGGTGGCTTGAAACGGGTCGCTGCTGCTATCATCGACTTTTAACAAGACAGCAGAGATGGACTGGCTACTTGAAATCAAATATCGTAGATCCTAAGAAGATCTGCTGCGCAGGAGACAGAAGGAGAAAAAAGGCGGCTCGTCAAAATGCTGGACCAATCCACAAGTCAGGTTTGAACATCCCCTACTCCGGTGGCCACGAAGGCAGGAGCTACATGAGCCACACGGAGCCAGACGAATGCCGTCGAAAAACACGTGGTTGTCATCACTGAGCCAGGCAGCCGCTGTGCGACTCATTTTACGTCCGAGTTCGGCCGCGCCCTGCACTTTTTCAACGAGCTACACTCCGTGAGCCCGCAGTGCGACGGTCACATCAACGTGCTCGGCTGCGATGGCACGGCCGTCAACACCGAAACGATAGGCGACGTGTTCCGGCTGTTTCAACTGGCCGCCGAGTCACTCGTACACTGGTTCATCTGCCAGCTGCGTGGCAACGAACTGAGCGTCATCCATCTGCTGCTGAGCTTGAACGGCACAACTACGGGATCAATTTTTTTCTGGACCCATCGGCAAGACCTGTGCCGGAGAGATCTGGGAGGGGGACGTTGTGGCATTCAAGCCTAGTTCGGGGCGCGTGCCAAACTCGCCGGTCGACCTGATTCCGCAGCTGAGCACTAAACAGCAGCTGCTGTACCTTCTGGCCTCCGGGGTTCAAAACTGCTTTGTCCGAAACGTGGCAGCCCAGCGGCGAATCGGACCATCGAACCATGCCAGGTATATATGAAAACGCACTATATTCGAGTTTATAGCAATGAGTGTTTAAAGTCCATCAAGTATAAATTGATATTTCATGTGCTCGCTGTTGAGCATTTACTTATTATCATACCTTCTGCCGTAGTATGTTGCATCATATGCTGGTTGGTTCATGCTGACTAGCATATTTGTTGATATGTATTTCGTCACATTTGAAGGCTCTGGATATCGGCATAGTTGCATACACTGAAGAGGCGCAATAATTTTTGCGTGGTCTAATGATCAGTTTGTAGCGAATTGTTCTTATATATTCGTTTTGTTTTCAGATAGTGGACATTGGCCGCTGGTCTGCTCCTAGTGCACATCTCTACCGAGACCTCCAGCAGCGCTCTCAAGAACCTCGTCCAGGGCGTGGTCGGCCACTATGTGTCGGTATGGCCCGCCATCCGTCAAAACAGCGGCTGCGACTTTGGCTCACGGAACTTGTTCCGGAGCATCGCGCTGCTCCGCGACCTAACGCAGCACACATAGGCCACGGTGCGGCCAGTCCTCCAGCGTAACGTGTACTGGGTCCGTCCGGAACAGCTGCTGTTGGACATTGTGTGGGATGAGAACCTCATGGTCCGCAAACAGGCGGTTCCGATCGTCGCGCCGCTCGTGAGCAGCAAACCGAGGGTCTTCTTCAGCCCAGGGTCTTCGTCATCTCAGCGGTAAACTTCGAGGCCGTGAGGTACACCGAACTGATTCCCTGGCACGGATCAGTTACACAGCCCCCACTTCGAAACCTCAGCGACTGCGTGCTGCGGAACAAAGTGCAGGCACCGCTGAACATCCTGCCCTATCTGGCTCACACTAGGGGTGCGACGCAGCGCCGCACTGCCGCGGACGTCTGGGGCTGGAGCTGGTGCTTCTGTAATATGTGGAACCCAGCTGCGAAGGTATTTCTGCTACCGTGCGATCTCTGCCAACACGCGTTTTGGGTTTCCAGTCTGTGAGCAGTTGCTGTTTGGGCCGGTGCATCGATTACACAGGCTCGGCAAGGAGCGAGATGTGCATGGGTCCACCCTACCGCCCCTCCCTCTACGTCTGTGGTACAGGCTGCAGAAGTTGCCGTATGTATTAAGTTGTACACCAGACAGTATATTCTGAGTCGTATCATAGTTTTGTTTGCACCACGTGAATTGTCTTAGAGAAGTGAAAGTCTTATTCATTACTAACCAGCATATTCGTACAATGAGTTTATACTCAACAGCACATAAAGTTTCCGCCAAAAGACAATCATACGGGCAATGTCTGATCGCATATTAGATTTTAGACCGGGATATTCTCGCACGACGGCTTAAGGAGCGCTCAGTAGCATCGCCGCTTTACACAAAGGTATTTTGTGTCGCTTGCCGCCCGCGGCTTGATATTACCTGCGGCAGCGGACGCCGCCCAGCATCGGGTGGCTGCAACGCCGGGCGTCAGTACGGGTCGGAATCATATTGTCCAACTTACAGAATAACCAAAGGTACAGAATGTCCAAAGTACAGAATGTCCGAGGTACAGAATGTCCAAAGTTCATAATGCCTAAAGCACACAATGTCCATTCTGTACCTTGGACATTCTGTATATTGGGCATTATGAACGGGCCCCTTCCACTCTGCGCTATTTTGTAAATTATTTCTCATCTTGGACATTGTGTACATTGAACATTATGAACTTTGGACATTTTGTACCTTTGGACATTCTGTACCTTGGACAATATGAACGCCTCCCGGTCCTCCCAAGGCCCTAGAACAGAAGGTATAACCGTCGGGCCAAATTCCGCTGCTTTGACTGATGACGTCACAAGTGTAATCGGTGCGTAATGGTCAATGGCGAATGCATGTAAACCTCACTCTGCTTGGCTTTATGAGGCGGTTCTAAGACTGGAAGCCGTTACATATCTTTGACTGGATCATATCACGTCTAGCTCTTCTTCGAACAGGCCATAATATCAACTGCAAGGTTTACTAATCATTAATCGGCTGGCGTCTCGGCCGAGCGCCCCGGGCTGGAAAACCGTGACACAAAACTCTCACAAAACGTTTTCGGGAATTCATTGCCTGAGTTGGAGATATGTATGTAAACGGAAAGAGTTAATGGGCGCATCTTGAAGAAAGAACAAGTAGAAATCATACTGCCACGAAAGGTCAAGGTCAGGACAAATCCTGCAGACCCCCGTTACATGTCTGCAAGGACTGGGTCAACTGAGGCGTTTTATTTATTAAAAGGGTTTATGCTTTTTGACTAGGTGAGGATGCTGTGTTACAAACATGTAGATGTCACAATGGGGTAAGGTCAAGGTCATTACATAGGTTAGCCTCATAACTTGGTGTATTCATGTGGCCTATGATTTAAAATATTTTCACATCCACTTTGCTCGCGTTATGCAGCTTAAACGTCAGCTACAATTTTGTTCTGGTCAGTACGTAGTCAAGATGCAGGTGGGATGCCAAGTGGGGTCATACGAGGTCAGCACGACACGCAGTAAGCTAGTCATGTCATACATGTTTCCAGATTGCTTATCCCACAGGAATGCGATATAATCGCTTTTAGTCTTGCATCGGGCCATCTAAGTGCCTGAAGAGATCAAAACCTTTTGTTTATCACAACCTATTCTGAACTTTGAAAGGCATTGAACAGCCATGGGCAGGTTAGGGAACTTGGTTTTGAGTCTGCTGCGTAAATAGCTACCACTCTAGTCATGTTCTGTTTGAAATGCAGATTTCGAAATCTTCAAAGGGGTAGAAGTTTCAATTTGCCGGCAGTAAAGCAAACTTTTTCGCAACAACTAGATAATGTCCAGTGCACAGGTCACCTTTATTCATGCATAAATAGCAACAACAATGATAAATAATTAAAAGACCTGGCCACAGCATCCCTTTTCTATACAGCATCACAGTTCTCACTATTGGTGGCTCGTGGCACAGATGCTTGTCCAATATCTGTGCACGGCAACACAGTCTTCTGAGTTCTTCACGCGGTAAGGACTGCAGATGCCCCTCTTTCCATGCCTCCCTCTTAGGCACTGGTCTCTGGCAATTTCATCGCAGGTCTCTGGCAAATCTAAGCAAAAAAAGTTGAGTGCTATAGTTATCATCGGCTTTCAAGGGAAGAACTGGCCTTTATGATATCTTTGATATAATTGGACTCATACAGCAAGCCATTAAACCTGTACTTCAAAGCATATAATGAAACAGGCGCAAAACTTCCATATCTGATCACTTTCACGGAAATAGCTTTTCTTTCATCACAAAATGCTGCTTATGGGCACTCGCATACCTAAGGAAGATGACGTGATGATGAACAATTGATGTGACATGGGATTCAGCCCTCGACAACTGCGATATGTGATCAGATTGGATTGCAACCCAACCTTATTCATAAAGGTTCACAGCATTATAAGCTTTGCACTGTCATTTAGGTCATGCTAATATTTCATGCCCCAAAATGCTTTCAGACAAAAATCAAGAATAGAGGCTAGTTATCTGAGTAGTGCCAAGATTAATTGAAGAGATGCATCAGCTTTACGATAGAGTAACAATACATGGTATATCTTGTACTACCAGATTCATAATGTCTTCGTAAATGCAGCTACAGGAACACAACACACCCACCCACACACGCACAAGCATAGTGCAAGACAGCAGGTAAAGCACTCACAACTCACTGCAGCTAGCGGCCCAATGCCACCTGACACCAGAATCATGAAAAGAGAAAAACCTGCGCCTTTAACATTACCAACAGGTTTACGTATGGCTACTGTACACACAAACAACATCGTGCACAGCGCACTTCTTAAGCTTACATTCATAATGCAAAAAAGCTATAATAAAATCATACTTTAATCGAACAAGCACCGCCTCAATCCCCCACAAAACATCAGTTAGATGAACTGAGCAATAGCAAATGGCACGCGGCGACGCGAGTCGAGGTTGCAGAAATCATTTTGTCTCTTCCGCGCCACGCCTTTGGCACTTAGCAAAAATGAGCCTATGGCGATACACAGGGATGACAGAAGGATAACCCGGTCCAAGTGCAAAGGAAAGCAAGCAAAGCATTTGCTTTACTTCGCTTTGCACTTTGCAAAGCAGAGCGCACAGCAAAGCAACGCTCACGTTTCGTCACCTTCGTCGTTGGGGCAGCGACCCAAACATCTCGCGTCCGTGTCGCTCAAAATTACGTACGTCCGCACCTGGAAAAAACGGTGTCGGGGAAGGGGGGGGGGGATAACAAATTATGTCGTATCAATTTTTTGATGCTGCAGTTTGCACTTTCCTTCTGCAGGTTTTTGTAACACTTAAGAAAGCACAGGAATTACACAACTAAAACAACAGTTCAACAGGCATAAAGCATTCAAACAATAAAGTCTTGCACTCCTGCAACTCAACACATTTCCCAGTCGGGCTCGGGCAGATATACCTCTGGCTTCTGTCAACATCAGGTTAGAAAATACAAATATAATGCCACGGTTTGTTTCCAAAATACCAGAGCATATTTCCATGATTTTAGCGTTTGATCTGTGGCCAAATTTGATATCCTCGACTGTGAAATCAAAAACGGCGAGGGACCTCGACAGCCAGGGCAGCTGCGTTAGTTGCGTTAAGGTGGAAAATTTGCCTCCGTTGAAGCGTCGCATCGTGGTTACATCTTTTCTTGCCAGGTTTTTCCGCAAGTCCCGCCTGTTAAGTCGTTTGCAAAATTTTGGAGTCGATGTAGATTGCAACATTCAGATAATAATCATTTCTCTCAAGCTATGACTGGTCGGTTGTATGCATATGCCACTGAGCGTACATGAACGCCAATAGCCACATGTGATCGTAGCTCGGCCAATAAAACTGACACATTTACTACTCTCCGTAATGAATGCCCTGACATACCTGAGCATATTTATCCTCTCTTTGCCCTACTAAACGAGGCACGAACACATGCACGTATTTCGGACCACGTGAAATTCTGAGGACACTCTTCCATGTTTTGTGTCGCTGAACGAAAAG